ACTATCGATTTTTATTGATTTTTGTCAATCGATTATAATCGATAAATCATTTTTCTGACTTCGATTTCTATCGATTTCCGATATCAATCCGGATATCAATCGGCGGATTAAATCGATTGATATGGATGATATAGATTTCTATCGATTAACTGCGTCTGATTTACTGTAACTGTACTGCATGTCTATAAGACAGACACCTCTCTATCTAAGTCCGTCAACGGACAGTTGCGAAGTTCTTTCTGTAGTGAAAAGTACCTCAAAAAGGAACCCCTCCTGATGACAGTAAATTGCAAAATGTTTGATATTTTGTAGTCTCCAGTTCTGTTACGCTTTTAGACCACGAATCGGTGAACGTTTGCTTGCAATGAACGTTTGGTCTCACAGTGACAAAATAACTTAACTCTTTTGTTACAATGGTCCAGTTTTAGTTACTCTCCACAACATAAACACACGCGTATTTACTAGTCTCGCTTGCGCAAGCAGCGAGACTCATAATCTGCAACGCGTTTTTCGTCGTATTTTGTACACAAATGTGGGGTCATTGTGCCCGGCGTTCTTTGCGGAGACCGTGAAAACTGGGACTAAGAATCGTTGCGTGATAAAAGCCATGCATGTTTTGCGAAGAAAGCTTAGGAAAGATTACTTTGGAACAAGTGAACACAAAACTGAGTGGTCGAAAAAAGAAATAAGAATCTTAATTAGCAAAACGGCAATGGTCGGATGTTGTAAACTTTCAAGTGAATTTTGTGATGAGCGTGCGGTTTATTTTCCGGGATGATTGAAATGACGTGCCATGTGAATCGCTTTCTTTTATCCCTGGCAATGATATAATTCTCTGGAATCGAGGCCCTTGAATTTTCGTGTATTTGTACACGCGTATAACCTAACACGCGTACTAGATCAACTTAGACACAAATAAAAATTATCGACGTCTATAGAGATAGGAAGTAAAAGAACCTTCAGCAAGTAAATGCTGTTTCGTGTAGAATTAATCGCCTCCTCATTTCTCGATCTGATCTCCAAAGCAAGTAAGAGTGGATGCCGCTGTAAGAGCGTTCTTGTTGCGAATAGGTTCAGTTTACAAATTGCTGGTGTCACGTTACCTCGACCAGACTCCTCTCTAATACGGACAGTCTTGACCGGTCCCAAGAGTGTCTGTCTCAGGGAGGGTTGACTTTGCACACGAACTGAGTTGTTTCACGTCCTAAAATATTGAATGCCGTAGTCTACACAGGCAGAACTGGTTACATTCTTGAAGAAATTCATCAGGCTAGTGAAGTTAACATCTATTTAAATGTTCTCAAAACATAGCCAAAGTCCTAAAGTCAAACTTTCAGCGTCATTAAGACTTTAGGACATTAGCTATGTTTTGAGAACATTTAAATAGATAAGAACTGGTCACACTTCATTGTTTGCAATCCTAATTAGTGTGGTGCGCGTATGTGCAAGAATGATATCTTTGACAGTAGTTTCGTAGGTCTCGTAAGGCACAGATTACACTAAACACTGTTCAAATCTGTGGCCTGACAACTCTCACCATTCGACCTTTACTTGTCTGTTTGCCAAGGAGAAAAATCTCTTGGTTAGTTCATCTTCATCACAGCGCAGGTCTCAGTCACTCACATTACAATCTGTGTCATAGTCTTGCACTTGTTCGGAGTCATCGGAAAAGACAAAAGAAGTAGCATCCTGTAAATCATGGGGCTGAATGTCAGAATCTTTAGTTTCTACATCATCTGGAAAAGGTTGAGTGGGGAAAACTACTTTCTCTGCTGGTGCATTTTAGGGATGATATATATTTCGAGAAAAGTGTCCCGGCCTTAAAAGTTGTTGTCTTCTGACCCACGCCTGACGGACGGCCCTTCCACTGGCAGAATGCCATTCTTTCATCTGGTCTCTTTGTCTGGCATTGAGCTGCCTCATTGGCGTAAGGTGGCTCATTCTTGGAAAAGCATGAAGAAGTGTTGCTTGTTCGACAACAGGATAACACGATGAGCCATGTGTGAAGTAGTCCGCAGTAAAAGGAACAACTCTGTTTATAAACGGAGTTGTTCATGCTTTCATAAACAGTGTTGAGTGCATACTGGAAGGCGGTCCCTAAACAGCTTAAAGTGGATTATTGCATGGAGTTTCTCCACTTGGACCGTAAGGCACATGTGGAGATCAAGTGTGTAAGCTGGATTGAGATTGTCAAGGAACTTGTGAAGATCTTTAAGGCCCGGCCTCAGAATCATGCTGACAGATGACATTGTTTGGTGGGAAATCGTGCCATGTTGACTAGCAGGCTTGCACAATTTGTCAAGTTGGTCGAGTATCCATTAATTTGCTTCTTCCAAGTATCAGTGCAAACGTTCCAAGTGTCTGATCGTTCCTGTTATGGAAAGCTTTGCGGTTGGTTGGTGCTTGAGATGTACTGAAAAGGCTTTGCACAACGAGCCACGACGTTTTAGAAATCCAATGGTGCCTTTGATGAGCGTAATAATTAAGCTTAACGGTACCTGCTTGGCGTCTGTCACAAAGATATTATTATCCTCCTCAACACAAACACCCATTGGTGTAGAGCATGATGCACCAGTAGACTTTCCATTGGAAGTCCCCTCTTTCCCGGTGCCCGCAACAATGATGACCTGCTCACCAGTGGCTTTGAAGTGAATGGCTGTATCTACAAACACAGTACCTTTCCGTATGCCACAACATGGACGCTTTCAAGACAGTGGGCAGTTGCGTTGCGCAACAAAACGTTAGCACTAACGCTGGATATTTCAACTCCTACAACTTCACCAGGATTACCTTGATAAGAAAATGTAGAGGACATGGACACAACTTTTGTGCAACCGTCTGGGTACTTGGAAAATGTAGAGGCATCGCCTTTGACTGTCCTATCAGCCACCTCCAGTTCCTCGAAAATTTACGTTGAATATTTCACGAAAAATCAGCTTATTATAGACCATGTTCACGAATCTCGAAAAATAAGTTAGTTATATCATGAATCACGGGAGTACTTTCGTTCAGGGATCACACTCATTCAGACCCTCAGTGCTGATAACTGAAGAGTAGGAAAACCATCAAAAATAGTTGTATTCAAGTATTCAAAGCAACAGCTGAATTCATCTACTGGGATATTAAAGGCAAATGTCTTAGTCAAGTAGGTGGGTGCATGCAGTTTTTTTTTTATTTGGTCTGGTTGAAGCACAAAAGCTTTTAGTAAGTAAATACCCGCCGGGATAGCAGCTAAACAGGCTGTACACAGGCATGCAGGAGGCTCTTGGCACAGGCAATTCTGTACATCAACCATTCAAATTTGTCAACTATGATCGCCATCTAATGTCGCTGCTTTTCTTTCTTTCAGTCTTTTTTTTAAGATAAAGAAAATACAGGAACATCACTTTAGAGATACAATAAATGCTTTTTATTAGCTCTTTATCGAAGAACACATATTACTGACATACACAATTGATGTTGTTTATTCACAAGTAAATGGCTTCTACCTCAGCGCTCGCGGATCTAGGGTGTGAACGCCCCCCCCCGGTACTCCTGGGAATTCTTGGTGAGGTGTGCCTCCCGGTTCTCCAAATCCTGACCCTATTTCAGACCAAAAACACGTAATTTAATCTCCCACACACGTTTTCAAACCTGGCCTTTTGGCAGAAATTATGTTATCATTACTTAAATTAGAGCGCAAACAAAAAAATTCTTCAAATCCATTTTTCGAGTTGGCATATTTCTCTTTCTTACTTACTCCTTTGGAATTGAAGCGTTAAATACGTTCATACACTCCCGTAGGCCCTCAAAAACCATACCCGATTCCAGACTAAAATGGGCCAAAAAGGGTATGCCCTTTTTCAGACCAAAACGGCGCAAAACCCTACCCGATGTCCGATGTGGCGGTACATACCTATATAGCTTATATAAGGGAGAACCCCCCCCGGGGGGGGGTTAAAGCTGTAAATTTTGCCTCCTAATATCTCACTTTTCCCCGTCTTTCTAATTTTAACACCCATTACTTAAAAGGGAAAAGAAGATCTTAATCACTTTTTACAAATGGACACGTATAACGTGGTGTCAAGCGAAACCTTCTAGTTACTGTCATGAGAAATATGAATGGTTTAGCCGAGATTTGAGTTTCAAATTGAACTAAGATTTAACTGCGATAAAGAGGCTCAGAGAAACCCCAGCAAGCAGATCCTCTTACTAGTATGTTGACACTTTCACAGCCCTTTTTTTTTGTATATATATACTAAACCAAGATGCTCCCAACCTTTCTTAGTTGCTTAGGCTCGGCTACGCAGCCCACTGAAGAAGAGTGTAAATAACGTACGAACAAGCAAATTTCGAGGATTCAACTCAATACACTCCCATACTTCGAGCATGCTAGTAATTTGCCCACTGTGGGTTTAATATTCCAATTAATCGTTGGTTTAGTGTGCCTGGATTTACACACAGGTTGCCTCAGTTCGTGTCAATGCTAAACAAAGAAACAAGAGCTTACAAGGGAAAACCCTCTTAGCTGGCCGCCTCCAGTCCTAGCCCCTACTCAAGCTAAATGGGAGACGACACACAATTGCCGTCACGCGGACATCGAATCTAGCCTGCGAAAACATCCGTTTCTCCTCGCTCTTCGCCGCTGGGCACGTTTCGCGCGGAGGAACGTCCCCAGCTACGAAGAGCGAGGACAAACGGATGTTTTCGCAGGCTACATCGGATCAAGACCCCTGAATTTAGGTGTTCAACCCACTTCGACCGAGAACTCAAAATATGGAAAGTTCACTAATAATTCCTTAAGAATAATAAGACAATTGAAAGGAAATCATGTTTAATGAGTTAATTTTGTAAAAATACTAAAACAAGGCTGATTCTTAACCTTCAATTTAACGAACAAGCAAAATAACAAGACGATGTTTCAAAGAAAATAAAAAGTTCTTGTGGAAACACTGATCTTAAGGCAATTTAATATTCTCGAAGGTTGTGTGTGAAGAAATCTACAACAGTTATGCGTTATTAAACTGCAATTAACAACTTTTATCTACGCTCTCTTTTTCTCATTTGGTTCGTGTTGGGAGAAAAAAAAACAATGATTAAAAAACTGTCCTGCCTCATCATAAATCCTTAAAGAAAAGAAATATAAAGAGGTTTATAAGATAGTAGGCATTGCTAAAACTAGAACCGTTACTGGGCATGCGAGCGTGGGGTGTGATGGTTGTAAATGAAATGAATGTTGGTCTCTTTGTAGTGCTCGTCTCACATGTCTTTAGTGCTTCGGTGTCTTTGATATAATCATCTCCCAGATAGCCTTGGTAGGTCCTGTTGTCTTTAGGGATGCTCACTAGAGCGGTGGAGGAATCTTTGAACATCAAGTTGGTGCCTTTATACTTTGTGGAGTTAAATAGCTGGAATTTTGTCCAGTCAGTCTGGTTGGGGCCATAAATCCTGCCCATGGCGGTCAAAATGGTGACAATGTCATCGATGTCCTTGTTGTTTTTTCTTGTCACCACTGCATGCGCCGGGTCAAACCCAAGAAAACAGTTCTCGTGCTGGCCAATCTCTGATAACAAAAAAGTCATAATCATTAATGTGAGGTAAGGTGTGTCAGAGGTATGCATTCTAGCAATGTGTCTTATCAAATCGGAGCTTAAGTGGCTGTACCATGGCTGTCTAGTTCAATCTCACCCGAAGCCAAAACGGCTTGGTGTCAATAGACGTAACGGACAAAAAAAGTGCAATCCGGACATTTGACCTCTAAGTTTATCCACCTGTGCCTCCTTTTGTATTTGTTCTGTTATTTATACCTACTTTTAATGTTTTGAACTGTTAAGTTTATGTTTCAAACAAAGTGGATGTTCGTATTGGTCCCAGCGTTTGAATTTTGTTAAATTTTGTGACACCCCTTATTTAACCCGTTTTCGGTAGAATGAAGTGAGTAGGAATGAAATGGCTGCCGGTCCACTACAGAGTTATCCGGGCGAATTGATGAGTTGACCGGTACCCCTGCATTTATACAACTCGATGAAGTGAGGCACTAGCCTGTGAGACTGAGTATCTTGCGCCAAACTCAAAACGGCATCTGCATTTGATTTTGTATCGACTCTTATTAACACTGAAGGCTTTGATGTATGCATTTTTTTAGCCTCCCAGCTGCCCCCCCCCCGCCCCCCCCCATCCCCTGATCTGAAGGTCTTGATCCGCCACTGATCTACCTTCTCTGGTCCCGTCTTTGCATAAGTATTGGTAGTGCTGGTAGTCCGACACGTTCCATTTAGGGTTTTTATCTGCTGCCTCGTGTAGAGTTGTGTGTTTGACGAACGCTACGTCCCCCTGGCCGGCTGCCATGCATTCTAATGCTCCATCGTTGCCAGTGAATGCATTGCCAGAGCTCGAGGCCGAACATACGTCGAGAGAAATGGTACAGAGTCCACAAAGTTTGTCGGACACTTCCTCAGACGCAATTTCGTATGACATTAACCCTAAGAAACCAAAAAAGTATTCATTTACAACCTTTAAAAAGAAAAGTTAAGTATACCGTCGCAGTTCCAGGTGTCTATTTATTTATCTCTACTTCAAGCCAATTCAGAGTCCGATGTAAAAAGTTGAATAACGACCAAATGGCAGATGCTGGGTTCATTTTCAACCGTGTGGAATCTCTACACTATCTATCTCTATTCCTACGGATTTTGAGTAAAAAGAAATTCAAGTAAGTAAGTAAGTAAGTAAGTTAGTAATTAAACTCAAGTAATTCAAAATGGCGGCTCCAAGATGGCTTCCGGTTCTAGTTCCTTCTTTAATAAGAAATGACGCCACTGCTATTGTTAAAGATTATGTGATAGCCTGATTTTGTCAAACACCTTCTACTTACGTAGTTTTCACTCCGTGGCTACTTTGAAAAGAAATTGGATTTTGCCAATTAATTCAATATGACGTCAGAATGACGTCAAACAAAGTCACTGTGTCAATCAAGTTATGCATTGATCCTCTCTTGCTTGATACTATTATTCTGTGTAATTTTGGTAGCCTGATCATTAGCGGTTTTAAAGTTACAGAGGGGGGCCTCCAAAGCCCCCGTCCCTGGTCGCAGTAAGCAAAAAAAAGCCCGGTTTGAATAAGGTTTTTCGAACCTTCTTCAACCTCAAAATACGTGAGTAAGTATTTGAATAAATGAATTGCACTCAGGATTCACGACAGGATCAACGACAGGATTAACGACACTGGGAAGAGAGTGAAATCAAATCAAAGCTCACCTGGTACGCAGCTCCATTCAAAGAAATTAGCAACAGAATAAAAGTCGTGGAACTCTGTATCACACCTTACGGGTGCTATTATCTTTTCACGCAGCATGTATCCAATGGGAACATTCCATCCTTCTACTGTCCGGGCTCCGGAATGGCACGAGTTTTTTCCCTTAAGACTTTTAAGGTTGAAGCCTGTATTGCTCTTTTTCACAACAGCAACTGCATAGTGTTTAACGCCGTATTTTAAATTTCCATATTGCTCAGCAACAATGGGCACAAGGCTGTTGTTCTTACCTATATTGAGAGTCAAAAAACAATCTTGTTCCAAGGGTTCTTTGCGCCTCTCGTTCCTCGGACGAGTAGAAAAAACCCTGGGAACGAGGCTTTTTGGCCGATTACTTCCTTTTCATTGACAAGATGTGATTAGTTATCTTTTGGATAATCAATCCTTATTTCCCATTTTAATGGTTTTCATTGTATCACCAACAAAAATCTAACCATTCAATACTTAACGTCAAGAATTTGAGAGGTAATAAAATAAAAAATTCACCCCCTTCCCCCCCCCCCTTGCCCTTCGGGCACCCAATCTCTCTTTCTCTCACCTAGAATCGACCACGTTTAGCTCTGTGAGATTTGTAATAAGTGATTTTTTTAGGGGAAAAATGTGTTGTGCCGAATTCTAGAGCTTGCCTTAATTTCAAAGCCTGAGTTTCTGACTGAAAAATTCAGGCAGTCACGCTAAAAAGGGTAAAAGTCATTTTCACGGTGACAGCTTTCTCCGCCGCTATTTTTATCTATTTTTTATTTTATCTTTTTTTTTATTTTTTTAGCGACGCAAAAGCTTTGAAAATTGTCTTGGTGAAAACACATTCACTGTGCGAACCTAATCGAACTGAAATTTTGTAAACAAAGATACGTATTCTGCAGGCCTAGTATGTCTGAATGGTTGTAAAATACAGAAGTAATTGTAGGAGTTTTATTTTGATATGTGATAACCGGAGTCCCAATGCGTGTCGGCTTTCAAAATATAGAATTCACTCTGTCAGTATAGATGCCCTATTAGGGTCAACTTTAGACAAACGGCAGCGCCTTAAGTCCCAATATCCACATATAAATTCTCCAAACTGGTCTCCATACTTTTCCCTAAAGAATGAGTGAGAGACTTTGATGAACGATCAAAGTGTTTTCTCTTCGGTGATCATTTTATTAATTCTCATAACCTAATCTCTTGACACTGTATGGATATTGTCAGGAAAAGGGTTAACAGAGCATCATAAGATAGGTGAAACTGGGTCAAACGACACAAAGATGGTTTGAAATTGCGACAGCGACGAAGAAAAGCTCAAATCCAAAAGTAAGTTACCGACAGGGATTTCCCATGTATATGCACGTTATTACCTGCTGCGTACACGTGTCCACCGTCCAGTGTCACGAGATCAGCCTTATTATCTTTGATCTTAGCAGCGCAATCGTCATATGAGCTTCCCTCAACACAGCTGGCACTTACATCCAAACTTTTGTTTAGTGCAATTTCGTTCACGTACTTAATGAAATCTTGACATTTTGCCCTCTCTGACGACGTTACACACCATTTGAAACTAACTGGCGCTGTAAAAAAAGTGTTAAAATAAAGAAGTGTTAAAATAGCACTTAAAAACACTTGAAAAGGTGCAAATCACGTCGCCTCGTATTTATTGCTGAGCATGTGATTAGGCGCTGAGAGTATGAAATGGTGAGGAAGCAGCAGGAAAAAGTGTTGAATCCAACATTTAGGCATATATCGAGATGTCCTATTTGGGCGCCATACATCGATCATACTTGGGTCTCTTCGTTTGACATTTTCTGCTATTCAATACTCCACAAGACGAAGAGCGTTTCTTTTTGGCATGGCCCCTGAACGAAGCTTTTGGCGCCTCTTGTTTTCAGTGTTAATAGATGGTTTAAAGAGGCACAAACAACGCGGAGACTAATATATACTGATTCGCCTCACTGTCTTTTCCGGTGCAATTATTTTTGCAAAGAAAAGTACAAAATAGTTAACTTTACTGATCAAGTTAGCCCCAATAATCCGTAGAACATTTATTAAATGCAAAATTTAAAATGTGGCTAGTAAAGCACTCGGTCAACATGGCCGAAACGAGAGCTTTTTTTTGTCTGTAATACGAAAAAAAGGGTACATTGAAAATGACCAAGGCAGATGCAGAGCTGTAAACTGAATTTCCTTACCTGAATAAGCTCTTTGGAACGCAACCAATGCCAGAAGAATAAAGAATCTTTTCGCTGCCATCTTAAGGTAGTTAACGTCGCTGCAGAACAACGCCCGGAACTGATCTGCGAGCTGCGACACAGTCCGTCAAAAGCTAAAAGCGGGTTCAAAGAACGATCAAAATCTGTGGATGTCACGGCATCTGTTAAAAGAAAATTCACTTGGAAAAAAAGTCCATTTTTTTTTCGTGAGGCAAGGCACGCATTTGCCGCCTCTAAAAGACTGGGCAAATTCTAAAAGTTAACTAGGGAGTTACGCTGAACTGTTCTTTTCGCCACATTAACTTAGTCCTAGAAGGCTCTTTTCCAGCTATATTCTCCAACCATCTTATGACTGAGAAAATACTCGAACTCTCCTTTCAGCCATGGTGAACCGTTAAGTGAACCGTTAAGATTTCATCCGCATCTCTGGGTTCCTTGTGAGATTTGCATGCAAGTACTAGGTAAAATGATCAAATGATCTACCCCAACCAACTGCTATGCTCATATCACCCCCACCCCAACCCCCCCTTCCCCACCGCTGAGCTTCGTTTAAGATGCATGAAGTCAATTGGTAACAGGTGCATCTCTTTTTTTACTCGTACATGTGTGGTCAATAGGACCTCTCGCAAGCTTATTAAGGCGAGTACTCATGTCCCTTTTCCTCGTAAAGCTACGTGGACAATTAACAGCGTCTGGAAAGGGAGTCCTGATCCCGCGTTCCCGCTCGTTTTTCACGAGAATCTCGCATCCCGAGCTTCTGTCATCCGGCTATCCCGAATAGCGTTTTCTTTCCACACTCAGTTCCGTACCCAAATTTAGGCGAATTCCACTCAGGTAGCAGTCAAATCCCGTATCCCGTTGACATTTCCCGAATCCCACACTTTAATTCAGCCCAACCCCTGATCCCCGGACTACCCCTCCACAAGCTGAATCAATACTGGCTGTTTCGATAAATTTCATTGTTCTTTCTTACTTAATGTGAAGCTTGTGTTATTCTAACAGCAGCTTACATCCTGTATTCAATAACACGAAAACAATACAGACAACAAAGCTTGAACACTTGCAAAAAATTGGCCGGCACAAATGCTGGTAAGAAGCCTGCCGTATCAGCCATTTCTTTGTTTGGCTTCGATGGCTTCCGGCGACTTTGAACTAACCAAGCAAAGCAAAGCTGTGACTCGTTGCTATGTGACGTCTGACTGGCAGTGCTGGATGGGTCGGTCACAGACCAATACATGAAAACAATATAGAGATGGCTCCTCCCTGCCAGTTTGGATGACTGTTCATGACGCTACTGTGAAGCTGGTTTGCTTTGATGTTTTCAAGGACACTATAGTAGTTTCTACATCCAGGTCCTCTTGTTAGCCGTTTACAAAATCAACCTTTCTTTTTAGTCACAAATCGTCGGCAACAGTGGAATTATTCTGCGGAAGTTCCTCTCCAAATCCAGATTATTCAAGACTCTAAGCCAAATCCAATCATAGCAAGACTGCAAGCTTGTAAGGTCTTAGCCTGCGTAGCAGGCGTTTCCGCGCATGCAAGTTCGCGGAGAGTTCGCGGAGACAGATGGGACGAGTGCAAAAATGAGGAATGAATATGATAAAGGAGCAGGATACTAACGAAGTGTCATTAACCAGATCTGTGTAATGCTTCTGATTGGCTGACGCAAATTTCCCTAGCGTCCCGACCAATCAGAACGTCATTGCGCGTGGAAAACAGTGGTGGCGTCGCGAAATGTCGGCTCCTGTGTCGGCTGTTTTCTCAGGCTAGCTTCCATCTAGCGATTTCTTTTAATTTACCTCTGAATTTTTTGTATTACATTTTGAGAGAGTTACTGTGTGTCTTGGTTCTATGGCTGGAGTCTGGACTCTGGAGTGAAGGAAAGAAGATATAAAACGTCAAGAAAGGAAGGTCAAATACTATAGTTCTACTCTTGTTTTTTAAGGCATGACGTTATACTCGCCGTTTTTTAATGAGCTGATTATGGTGTCAAGCTTCGTGTAGTGATCGAGCTCAGATTAGTTCTCCTTTTTAGCATATGGCCTTTCGTTTGGCGATCTTCTTGTTGTACGGACTGTCTCATCGGCCAGCATGGTGATGCCTTATTGTCAGCTTTAGGAGCGGTCAGTGGCGCTTTTAGAATTGACTGTGCTGGTTGAAGACTTTTGCGTTCATAATTAACGTTGTTACCACAGTGAGTTAAGAAACCTTTTTTAACAACTACATCTCATTCGCAAGATTGATGAATCCTTCTTTCTTTCTCTTTGATCAATAAAGCCATAAAAAATGACGCGGCAATTAATCTATGCACTTACGATATTGTCGTTAAGAGATATTTCAGGTTAGGGATTTTCCGTATGTCATTTCCTTGCTGCGTAATTTACTGAACCATTTCGGAATTCGAACGTAGTAAATTTCATACACCAACATGAGGTTTTTGAAAATGACATTTATTTATTGGCCTTACACAACAAAATCACTACGTTACATACAAACTAGCCCTGCAAACCCACTGAATTCAATGTTTTAATTTTGTATTCTAATGTTACCCTGACCTGATCATTCCAACCTGACATTTGATGTCATCGCTAATCATGTATTTACCATTTCTCACTGTTTCTTACTGCATCAGGGCTTTGTTCTTGTTAGCCTATATCAAGAGCCATAATTACTGTCCCATTATGGCTCTTGCCTATATATAAATCATCTGAAGCCGTGCTGAAAACTTGACATCTGATGTCTCCGTTTTTTCTTTCTTAAGACGCAACACTATTTGCTTTAATAAAAAGCTCTGATTACCCCTGACTATACTGTCCGTTCATATTGGTTTAAGCTACATAAAACAATCCATGAAGATCAATAGCCTTCTAAGCCTGAATAATCACTGCCAAAAAAGTAGGCTTTTTTGCTACTTATCACCTGCACGGTCAAGCAAACAACTGAATGAACCACTTTAGACTAGTCTGAAACAATAAAAAACCTTGAAACGAATATTGAAGTCCCGCCGGAGCTCATATCACTGCTGAGAATAAAAACTGTCACACATGTAACACGCCCTCTATACCTACTTTACTTATAGTCGGTTCAGTGCTATCGAGGTAACATGTATATTGTCTTTAATTTAAGCCAGGAACAAACGAGAAACAGGAGTTTACATGAAGATAAGACGCAAAAGCGCTAGCTATCGGTATTGAATAATTTTAGTCTTTGAATACCGCCATGCACCTGATTGGCGGGAAAGGAACGACTCCAAAGAATGACGATCTTGAGGATTAATAATTCAAAAAGGAAATGAGTTCAGGTTAGACTGCAAAACAGTCATTATTTTTTTCTCAAAATTAGCGTCTCTCCCCACTCTTGCTCTCTGTTTTTAGCCTCGTTCCAGACCTTTTGTTTGACTGCTCGCGCCTACTTGAATAGGCAAAAATACCGACTGTTTTGCAGTCTAAGTTCAGGTTAAAACTATCCTCGATTCCCTGTTCGAATGAATTCTTCTATCGGTTAACCAAAATTTAAAGCTAGAAAAAAAAAACTTAAATCGAATGTTGAACCGTCTTCAGGTATCACAACGTTTTGTTTTGATCATGGCTTAAGCTAAAACAGGGTTATGTGTTTGACTTTACAGTGACATCACGGCAACCATAGCTACAAGCAGCACAATCACTGCGTAGGGCGTGGTCTTGGTGGAGACTGAGCTCTCATCGTCACATGACTTCAGTGCCTGAACGTCTTTGACGTAATCGTCACTCAGAAACCCTTGGTAGGTCCTCTTGTCTTTTGAGATGCTTACCAACTGGGTGGTGGAATCTTTGAACAGCAAATTGGCTCCGCCGTATTTTGTGGAGTTAAATAGTTGAAATTTTGTCCAGTTAGTCTGGCTGGGGCCATACATGCTGCTCATGTTTGTCAAAATGGTGACAATCCCATTAATGTCCTTGTTACCTTCTCTTGTTACCACAGCATGTGCAGCGTTAAACCCGAGAAAGCACTCTTCATGTTTTCCAATGTCTGATAAGACAAAGGTATAGTTAGACTTTAGTTAGTAAATTATGGGCTGTTACAACTAACAATTTCGTTCATGGGCTCCTGTTTCCACCCATATTATAGAACCCAAGACAGTCTTGGAGACTAAATTTCATGCCGTGGATTCCGGACTCAAGGTGCTGGATTTCAGTCTTGTCAGTGGAACTTGGGTTCTGGATCCAGTCGTTCGGGGGATTCCGGATTTCACAAGCAAACATTTCCCGGATTCTGGAATCCCGATTTCTTTACGTGTGACAAAACAATAGACCTTATTTTGCTTGTTATTACTTCTCAAACAAAATGATATTAGAAAGAGAATTCAAGGATGCAAAAATGAGCAGTTTTTCATCTGATTTCCAAACACTAATTACACATTAATTCCCTTTGTATTTTCTTTGATTATTAATGAGCTTGAGGAGTATGGCACAATTCAAGCATTCTGGCTGGTTATGAAGAATTATCCCCACTATTTAAGCCGACCAGAAAAGGAGAAGTATTTTGCCATAAAGAAAGCCGCTGCATATGGCGTTATGTTTCTAAGCTAAATGCACAGCAGCCGTTCGTCACAAAAAGTTGCATAAACTGGGTAAAAAATAGCTTCGCATGTTCTAAAACATCGAGTACAGTGAATGTATTGTCACCTGAATTGGTTATTAACAGTTATTGGATTCGGTTTTCGCCTGACAGCAAGACCTTAGGTTAACGTTGCGGTACCTACTTACATGTCATGCAGGAGCCCATAACCCATAAGTGTTTATTACCAATTCATCTGACAATGTTACAAATCTTTTAGAAGAATGAAATGTAGGTCCTTGTCAAAAGTCCTTTTTTTATAATAACGTTTCGCTACTGTAAGTGTTAGTTTTCCTTAAACCTCTTGACCAGGTTATTCGAAGCTGGGTTAAAAGATAACCCAGGGCTATTGGTGCGAAATTTGAACTCAGATATGAGAGCTTAAAAAGCAAATTTAGTTTAATTCTCTTTGCCTTCAATTTGATGATTGGATACTCTAAAAAGAATAGAGAAAATTATCCTAGAGGGTACTTTTGATAAAAAGAAAACAAACCAGGGTTAAAATTTAACCCCGAGTTAGCGCTAACTGGTGTGCGAACAACTGGGCCAACATGTCTCTAGCTACCTGTTAGGCAAATATCACTAGCTATCTACCTTTTCTTGTTCCATCTTTACAGAGGTATTCGTAATCTGACGTTACTCCATATTTTCCCGGGTATTTCGTGAGCACTTCTTCGACAGTTGTGTGTTTAGCAAACGATACATCGCCCTTGCCTTCTGCCATGCACATAAACGAGCCATGGTAACCAACGTAGCCATTTTTGCTCACGTCCCTGGAACATTTGTCAGAGCCGGTACCGTTGCAAATGGCGCAAAGTTTCTCGGAAACGTCAGCAGGTACATTATATGATTTCACACCTAAGAATCGAAGTTCAAAGAAATTAAGAGATTATTTTATAAGGTAGTTTCTAGGTTCATTAATGATGGAAACTTTATTTGCGTTTGTGCATGTACAATTTTAAATCTCGCTATGTATAGGCAATTTACAAATGCAGCTTGAGATTGGATTATTCCAAAAAAAAAAAAGGAAAGAAAAGAAAAGAAATCAAAATTGCATTAAGTCTGGGCTATTCCAGTTCCTGTTTCTACAACAAAATAAGTAAAATGTTGCCCTAATGGCTATATTTATCTTTTTCTTGATTATGTAAAGTTTCTGCTTTTAGTCAATGCCCATGTCATTCATCATGTCTAAGAATAATAATAATTATTATTATAATCATAATCATAATAATGATATTAACAGTAATAATAATAATAATAATAATAATGTTATTAATGATAATGATAACATCGTGATTGTCTCGTTTACCATTTTTTAAATCTTCCTAATAGTAAAAACACGTTTACTTAATAGTCAAGTATCAAATACCTTAAATTGCCGCTTGTAAGCCCTAAGCTTAATATATATCTTCATAAGGGGTTTTTAGGAGGGCTTATAAATGAAGGGACTCATATCCGAGGGGGCTTGTTACCGGAATAGAAAAAGCAAAACAAGCTAAAACAGGGCAGATTAAAATACGTTTTGCATTTACTTTTAATTTGGTTAAAGGAGCTGTGTCACGCAATTCAGCCAAATTAGAAAATTACAAAATGCCCGTTGAATTAAGAGAAACATAAAAATAACCGCTTAAAACTTTAAAGGAAGGTTAAAATAACATATAAGAAACAACAGATGCCACTGATGCGCAAAACTGAAGAAGATTGAAACAGATTGAAATTAGGGTTTTTGAAAACTGTTCAACCTGACAATTTTTCAAAGTTGATCCCTGCTGCTTGCAACTTCAAACATAATGCTCAGGAGACATATTTGTTTGTCTCTGGTCTCTGATTTTGTCATTTACCTGTAATTACTTTGCTTGCTTTAAGTTCCATAGCGATTGAGGGCGAGTAATTGGCAAAATTAAACAAAATGCACTGGACTGCCGTGACACAGCCCCTTTAATTAATAAAATATAGGCTTTTACATATTAATTAATCGAATTCATTTTAATAAAAGCTAGAGGGGCTTATGTCAAGTGTTTTTTGTTTATTTTCAGAGGTAATGGGACGATAAACCAATGAATAAATTAAAGTTAATGAATGAATGAATGAATGAATGAATGAGGAATGAATGAATAATGATGAACGAACAAATGAGCAAAGAAAGCTCGCAAAGATCACCTGGTACACAGCTCTCAAGGAAAAATTTAGAAGCTGAATAAAAGTCGTGGAATTCTGTATCACATTTCACTGGTGGAATAATTTTTTTGCGTAGCAGGTACCCAATGGGAACATTCCAGCCTGCTGTTCTTCGAGCTCCGGTATGACATGACTTTTTTCCCTTCAGACCTTCAAGGTTGAAGCCTGTATTGCTCTTTTTCACAATGGCAACTCCGTAGTACTTCACTCCGTATTTTCCATATTGCTCAGAGACAATGGGCACAAGATCATCATTCTTGCCTGGATCGAATGGGAATAAAGAAATATAATGTACAGTCAACTCTCGCCTTGTGGACATCCCGCTATAACAGAACCCGAAAATACGGACAGCAGCTAAATCCCAAGCAAAAATAAATTACAGAAGCTCGACTGAAATATACTCCCGCTGTTAAAGACTGGACTGTTGAGGACACTAACCTAAGGTCCTTTACCATGTCTGCTGGGAAGGGTGTTGACTGCAATACCATTTGGGTTTTTTAATTTTTCTGGCGTTTTCATGTAATCATGCGTCATATATGAGTCATATTTGAATACAGGTCCTATGTTCTCTTGTAGTGAATACTCCACTTTGAGTTCGTTATGACCGCTGAATTAAAGAAGTGAAGACGCATTTTTACAGGCTTAGCCTCCATGTGAAGTAATATATTCACAAATTCCAACGAGAAAAAGACCTGTTTATTACTCTGTCTATTGTGTATATTCAAATTTGAAACACTTACTTGCCGGAATTTCTGAATATTTTACCTTTAGTCGAGGCTAACCCAGTATGACTGCGTCGTTAATGTTTGTATTCAGCGGTAATTTTTAATTCGAAACTGGACTATTGTTTGAACTGCTCGGCTATAGCTACTAAAATATTAAAGCACTGTATCGCGCAGTCGGCAACCCAATGAACCCCCAATGAACAATTAATTCGGGATGCTATGGTAGAAAAATTTCTGGACCACAACAATGGGCAGCTTCAGCAACGACAAAAAGGTAATGGGTTTCTATAAGCAAAAAAAACTGCGCAAGTATCACGTTTTTTGTACATTTCTGAGCTGTCGTTGCACGACTCCGACATGAAACTTCCTAATTTCATGCGCCCGCTTCGGAGTACATGAACACTTTCTCCTTTGCTCAACTGGGTCCAACCCTAGAAAATTTCTCCAACACTTGACAAACTAATCTTGTACCTGCTTCATAAACACGTCCACCGTCCAGTGTCACGAGGTCAGCCTTATTGTCTTTGATGAACGTCATGCAAATGTCGGATGTGCTTCCATTAACACAACTCAAGACAGCCACTGGTAAACCTTTTTTTGTAGCTGTTTTGTTCACGTACTTGATGAATTCTTGACATTTGGCCATCTCCGTGGACTTCGCACACCATCTGAAGCTGATTGACGTCGCTGTAGGAAAGTGTATGAAAAATATTTAATAAAAACCGTTAAAATTACGGTACCACCATTCCCGGCCCCGAGGACACTTCGCTTCAAATAAAGCCGAGTGGCCCTGTGGACGGGAATAAGGTGTCCCGGGCCTACTGAATACTTCAAATGCCATTTGCAGAGACATAGGTTGTGTTAACACAATAACGGATAGCTTTGCATGGCGCCACGCAAAGATATGGATATAGTGTGAACAGCAACGGCCCGGGGCGGCACAAGTCGTTCACACACATCAAACATCGTGCCGGCGGCGCGGTTGGCGGAGAGGCTTTGGTGCCCTAAATCCCAGTCCTCACTCCTGAATATTTACTTCCGTCTTAGTGGGTTCCAGGCCCAAACTAGCCACTGTTTACTTCCGTGACAGGGCGAATGCACCAAAGTATGGCATAAAACCCATCCGATATGTGTCAACCGGATACGTTTTCATGCCGACAGGAAAACCCCTGCACAACAAAGTGGCACATGCTTTGGATTATGACTATAAAGGAAAATTTATTTTAATAATTTTTTTTCCGGTTGCATAACATCCAAAAGCAAAAATCTGCCACCTCGTCCAACCCAGTACGTAGGGCAGTGTGAATCTTCGATGGAGTTGTAATGAAAGTTACAGGTAGCCTGCAAATGAAGTCTTTCTTCTAGCTCCTCGCTGCTAGGTACTCCCTCCCCCCCCCCCCCCCCCCCCCCGCCTACTTACTTCTTGTAAAAGTCTCTCTGATCGCACTCTACTGTTTCGTGCCATAGGCGCATTCTTTAACGTTTCAATTATCCGCAGGGTCAGACATAACTTGAACTTTTATAATAACAGTACAGTAAAACGCTTCGAATAAGAACGTAGATTTTTGAAGCTTGGCAAAATAGATTCTCATAGTTTGGAGTCTTTATTGGAAGTTTAGGCTAAATAGGTTCTTAATTTTCATGAAGAAGAATACTGTTGTTGATTACAAGAAATGCTAGGTTCTTCTTCGCGGCATTCTACTGTAGACAAGTCGCGGTGTCAAGTTAGCAGTTTTGAATTTCGAATATTGACTTTGACTTCCTGTCCATTGATACTGGCTTCCTTGTGATATATTTAATACGAACTGGCTTTTAACTGGGAGACTCAGGAAATAGTCACTCAGTTGTATAGAATGCGTACACCACACTGCTTTTGTCAACAATCAACTCCCTATGAGTTTTCTTCCACTTAAGTATTCCGAAGCTTTGACCGTGACGACGCTAGACTGAATCGAATAAAAGAAATCCATCTGATTGTATCGCTTCACTTTCTTGATCTGCATGTGCCTAATTACAGAATTATTCGTACCTAAAAACGTGTAAATTGTCTCTCAACAAAGCAAATGCAAATTGTTAAATGCTGTTTGACTATTTAAAGCGAGTTGACTTCTGTCAGGTTTAGACTGAAACGGATGCCACTTGACAGCAAGTTTGTGTGGCACCCAAGGTCTCGGCGTCTCAGCGAGTCTCAGCGAGTCAATAGAAACGGCTTGCCAAAAGGGAAACATTAACCACAAAGGACTCCAAAGGACCGCAAACGAATATGCCGTAGAACGTAGGATCTATAAAGACCTGATCAGCAAAAATGAAAAGTAGACATATTAAATTCTGCAAGCAGAATACTGCAATGCTGTCTACTTGCCAAAAGGGACTGGCCCCGGGGGGAGGAGTACTCCTAGGAATTCTTGGTGGGGGTGTGCCGCCCGATTCTTCAAATCCTGACCCTATTTTAGACCAAAAAATGTGATTTTCCACACCCGTTTTCGGACCTTTCCTTTAAAATCCATACCCGATATAAGACCTGATTTCTAAGAAATCGTTTATTCATTACTTAGATTAGAACGCCAGGAAAAAGATATCAATATCCATTTCGAACGTACTTGCATATTACTCTTTCTTTCCCATTTTGGAATTGAAACGGCAAATACGTATACATTTCTGTCTCCATTAGGTCGCTCGAAAACCATAGCCGATTCCAAACCAAAATGGGCAAATTATACACCCTTTGGGATAACACAAAGCCATATGGTCGTATATAAGGGAGTACCCCCCCCCCGGCAAACTGTTTATATTGTGGCCTGTAATAAATTGATAAATCTGTTAATATTATTTAACTCTATCGCCTAACTGGAAATGCATCCGAAATTATAAAGAAATGCTTCGGAAAATCTGGCGATAGAGACTCGAATTAAAGAAACTGATAGAGTTCTAGAATGCTCTTTGCCTCATCACTTCCCTGTTCCGTGTCCGATTGCGAAAATTTTTTCGTCCCGAACAACGATCAAAGTGTTACCTGCAAAGTATAAGTGCA